ATTTTAAGTTATAAGTTCATAAAGGCATGCACTTTTTTCTTAAACACTTAGTGAAATTTTGCCCTAGTTAGGCAGATTTTTGACCTAACTTCATGGAAACTTTTCACCTAGTTCCAAATTGAATCTTTAAAAATGTCCAAAATGAAGGTTATATAGGATTTTAAAAGATTTCTAAAATTTCCAAGAACTCATCAAGACCATACTTGAGCTAAGAGAATCGAAGGCAAGAAGTTAGGGTTTTAAACTTGTTTTGCAAGGCAGATTTTGTGATGGACATGAACCAAATCCATAACCATGCTGAATAATCATCACTTTGCAGGCCTCAAACTTGTTTGTAACTCCATTATTAATGGTTCACACAACTGATTATGCCCTTATCCAAGTGTTTCAAGCTTTGTCCAAACCAATTTGGCATTTTGGGAAGAAAGTTCACACTTCCATTTTGGAAAAGTGGCTTTAATCACAATGTCAACTCTTCTTGAGCCTATACATTGTTTCTTATGACTCCAAAACATTTCAAAGCAAGAAGCAACATATCTACATCCTACTAACTAGCCTACAAATCCTTGTACTTCACATTGAAACCATGTTTGTCAACTTTGCTACAAAATCAAGTAACCAAGCCATAACATGTGATTTCAAATTCTGAGTTGTTTCAAGTCACAAAACCTTTTGCCTATAAGTATATACACTACTTTCAAGCTAATACATGAATGCTAAATCCCTGATACACTCCCAAACACAGAACCACCAAAACACCTCAAAACTTGCCATTTCTGAGTTTTGAATCCAATCTCCAATTTCACTTGTGCATTTCTTGGCCTTTTGCTTTCAAAAGATTCTAAACATCATATACAAACAATACCAACATATTTTAAAGTTCTGTAACACCATTATCATCCATAACCAAAAAACAAAGCTTGCAACTTGACTTATCTAGCACGACCCAATCACTCCAAGCATCAAGTAAGGGTTGCATTAGCTTCCTGGAAACTTGAGGAAGCTAACCTGATCATCACCATCACTTGAAACAAGCTCAAACTCATTTCACGATTGCCAGTTTTTGAGGTATTTTTCTGAACTTTTATCTCTTCATTTAGGCATTGTTAGGCTTGCATTTTCAAAGACAAAATGTAGACATCATTGCCCTGAAACTAACCATGTCCATAGTTTTCATTTATATTGCCTGAGCTTAGAGAATTTTGAGATTGAAATTTCCGGAAAAATTAAGGTTCAGATTAGGGCCAGCAAAATTATCATTTATCTTTGATTTATAGTTTTAGTGAGTTATATGTTTGAAATCGTGGTGAGATTTTACACAACTTTCATGTTTGCATTTTCCATTTTGGTTGAGAAATGAATGAGATACAGGTGGTCTGGCTGGCATAAGGTTGAAGATAAAGTTCAGGCCATGGAAGTGTTTTGTATTATATATTTATGATTTTGTTTAAGTTAACGGATGTATAGTCACCCCAGTGGTAAGGCAGCATGCGTATATTGTAGAGGGCGTGGGTTCGAGCCCTAGCGCTGCCATTTTGTTTTTTTCTAACATTTCCTTTCTCTTTGTTTCAAACAATAGGGCGCCTGGGCCTCCTGTGATGGTCCAGTTCCACTTTACTTCACAACACCCCCATCTTACTTGTTCCAGCGTAGACCCAATGTTTTTATTTTCTTTTCTTTTGCTGACTAACAAAAAAAAACATTAATGGGCCAAACTCAAAAACTGTTTTACTCCTAAACACCCCAATTCAAATTTCACCCCTCTGACATTGACTTATATATATTATTTTATTTTATTTTATTTTTATTATTATTATTTTTTATTAATAAAAATACAAAAAATATTTTATTTATTTATATATCTAATATACTTATATTTTCTTTTTTTTTTAAACTAAAAAAGACAAAGTGTTTTCTTAATCAGATTTAATTCTTTTCTTAAATAAGTTAGTAATTAGACTCAAGTTTAATTTATTTCCTTTTAATTAAAAATTAACTTAGAACTTTGGTTTTCTTTTAATTAATTAATTTTTCATACTAGTTTAACTTAATTAAAACTTTTCACAAACAAAACCCTAAAAGACTTGTTTTCTTTAATAACTTAATTTCTTTTATTAATTTAATTTTAACTTTCTTAGGTCATTATTTTCTCTTAAATTAATTAAGTCAAAACTATTTTTCTTAGCAAGAACTAAAACAAAATTCATTTCTTTTTTCATTTTGCCTTGTACATTATATCCATTTATTCATTCTTGTACATTTGATTCTTGCAAATATTCAATATGGTTGTAATAGATGATTAGGACTTAATTTCTTGCAATCCTCATTTGTAAATTTGTACCTCATCCTAAAAAATGATGTAATAGCGAGGATATTTATTTTTCGTAATTTACCGCTTTCATACAAATGCTAGTTAATTAGGGTTTGTATGGCAAGATAAAATCAATACTTAGGAAACCTTAATTAAAGATAAATCAAGCATGAAATACAAAACACTTGCACACTTGCACCTCTAGGTTTAACTCCACTTTTTTGCCTTAAATAAATAGTCATGTTATGCATGTGAGAAATCTTAGCAAAAACGATCAAAATACAAGATCATAGTCCCTCGATGACGTTTCGAATGTTTCCATCAAAATGATCTTAGACCCTTAAGAGAAATGCTTAGGTATCTCACAATATTGTATTTTATGACTATACGATGACCCACGCCCATCCCTTTACCTCCAAAGATAGGGCTACTTACCAATCAATGGTGAGATAGAAATGTCAAAGGAAGAGAGAAATGAACAAAAGACTTTTGAGTAGGTAGAACGTTCTTAGTTGCTTTCTCACAATCCATATTCAAAAACAAACATCTTTTCAAACACACCAAACACTTTCAAAAACATGAAATATTTTCAAAACTCCAACACTTTGTATACATTCTTATAGAGACGAGAATCATTACAAAGTTTGCCTAAACGAAGGCGCTTTTCAAAAATACCTCCAAAAACCCACCACAAACACATTTCAAACAAAGCAATTTCAAAAGTGATCTAGCAAGAAACTAAGAGCCCATAGATAACTATGGATGAAAAGGGTGCTAACACCTTCCCTTTTCATAACCTACCCCCCGAACTCAAGAAAATATCTCAAAGGTCTTTTCTGTTCTTTTAACCCTTTTCTTATTGAATAAAAGAAAAGTCGGCGGCGACTCTTGCAATCCGCAACAATTGCAATCAAATGCAAAACACCCAAGTCAGTTCTCCCACCGTACTACAAGAGGCCTATGTGATTATGAGATATTCCTACATTCATTTAAACTAAGAAGATTGATCCAAGTATGCACAAGCTGAATATGTACGTACAGTAAAATAAATATGTGTTACAAACAAACACTACAAATGGAAAGGTAACTTTCTTTTCAAGTAAACATAGTGGCAGTAAAGCTAATATGATTAGAAATACTAAAAGGAGGAATTTTAGAATCAGCTGGAAGCTTTAATTCTTTGATATGATTTTTTGCATCTTTTCAATAAAATTGCATCCAGATCAAGATGAAAACATCCTCAGAGATCAAGAGCTTCAAGAAGAGGATATTCATATGGAATAGCAACCAATCCATCGTTAGAAAGTTCATTATGAAAAATCATCAAATGGTGAAGTTAAGACATTGTTTTTCCAATAGTAAGCGCAACATTGTCACACTTAATATTTCCCTTTTCGCACTGAGAAAACTTCAACAATTTCATATGTGGACAACATTGGCTAATATATTCAAAGAAAGACCTTCCTAAGTCATAACAATGATAATTCACAAGCTCCTCCAAGAATGGATGCTTCTTCATAACTTCAGGAAAAGCTTCATTAGAAATTTCATGGCATTCTTCCAGGCGTATGCATCTCAAGTTAATTTCCCTAAAAATTTTGAAAACCAATCATAGAAATAAAAATGTTAAATTAAGAAATCGAGAAAGAAAAAAAATCCATTACCATTCAAAAGTTGAGTAGTACACATTAAACAATATGGCGTCTCTCTAAAGTAGTACTTACCAAACACAATCTTAAGAAGAACAGACAGAACCCAGTCATTTCATTCTAAATCTAAGAACACATATTAAAAGATAGATAAGGAATTAAGAAATAAAATATACAATGAGATCAAACAAACAGTGGTGTAGCTAACTTGGCATCTATTTAGATTAAGTTGAGCTTTTTGAGTAAGTTGAGCTTTTTGCATATGTTGCTTATATGGTTTCTCCAAAGCATCGTCTTTGGCATCAGTAACCCATGTAACATGTCTTTCAAAGAACCAAAATTATATAACTTATTTAAAAAACTATATGTCATTCAAAGAACAAAATTTAAGTTGAGCTTTTTGAGTAAGTTGAGCTTTTTGCATATGGTTCTCATACAGTTTCTCTAAAGAATCATCTTTGGCATTAGTAACCCATGTAACATGCCTTCAAAAGCACCATTTTTATATATTTATAATGATGAATCTTCAACCTATATTTATATGTAGAGACAAAATTGAGTGAATGAGAAAAAGTAGAGAAAAATAGTGATAACATGTAATAAAAGAATATATGTAGAGAATAAATTGTGTGAGTGAGAAAAAGTATAAGAAGATTACAAATTTTGTATGTACAACATGAATTCAGATCTCTTCCCTTTGTTTGTTTCTTGTTTCCTGTGTGTGTGTCAATTTTCATATCTAATCCCTCTTTCACTCACATATACATACCTTTTTTCATTTATGTAATAAAATTAACAAATCAAAGCGTACTATGGATTGCTTCTTTCTTTTATTTTTGGAACTAACAAAAAAAGAAGAAAAAAAGTTAAATAAGAGAGAAAGTATATAGAAAGAAGAGACAATAAGATTAAATCGATTTGATTTTTTTTACTGGAAGTGAATCCTTCTACCCTTTCTTGAATCATGGAATTACTGGGAAGTTGTAGGTGAATGAGTAACCATAATAATTGCACCGATTCATTACTAAACACCATAATTATTATTCATCCAAATCAAATCCATGAAATCTGCATGAAACATACACCTTCATCACTTCATTTCCAAAGTTAAGAATCTGTGAAAAATTCAACAAAAATCTGTAAGGAGAAGAGTAGAAACTCAACACTTGAAAATCATAGTTCACTATAAAGCTAGTTAGACATGTTATATACACCCTACAGATCCAACAACAGAATGTAAAGAACTCGCGACTTGCATCGAGATGACCATCTAGCATGTGCCTCAAACTGAGATGCATTAACTTCTGCACTGCGACAAGTACAAAAAAGAGGCTCTTTCTATTCATAGCTCTTTTAAACTTCTTCTAAAAGAATAAGGTACAATATTGATATCAGGTGAAACCTGTTGAGTCTAGAGCTAATACGAAAAATTCAACAATCAGTGAATCAAAACAAAAGGAAAACAAACAAATCAACATAATACTATGCATTCCAATTTACCCTCAACCAATAAATAAATAAAACCCAAAAGAAAAAATAATAGAATGCAAAACCATAAATATTCAAGGCATAAAAATAAATTGTAGTTGACCATAACTGTTAACAAAAACATCAACAATAACTTGAATAGGGTTTTGATCAGTCAGTGAGTGAATGATCTCCATGGCATGAATAATAATCCCAACAACATTGAGCTTTTTTTTTCTTCCATTTTTTCCATTATTTTTAACAGTCTTACACTTTCTTGAAACGCTTCACTGAGAACCTACCAGTAGTGTGCATCACATATGTCGCATGTTTGTTGACGAAAACTCTCTGCAAACCCAGATTAGATCTGAGCAAAGTTAGACAAAGAAGAAGAAAAGCAAGAAGAGGAGAGGAAGGTGCAAAACAAAGGAAGATTACTCACAATAGTCATTAAAGCTCCTAAAGTGGTATATTTTTATGTTTCGGTCTTTGTTGATGTAACTTATAAAACTGCTTCTGAAATATTGAAAAGGGGCGATGGGGTTCAAAAGGGGATTTGGGTTTTGATTTGTATCTTACTGTTTGTTTGTGGGTTTGTATATTGGAAATTGGAAGTTGGAAGTTGTGTATTTTCATGAATACCTCTTCTATTTTTTATTGATTCAAAACTAATATTTAATTGTTCAAGGCTTAGTAAACCGTGTATAGGGAGAACTCAACCGTTCAATATCAATATTAATCCAATTAGGCTTTTCATGTTGCAACTGTGTTAATAACCGTGTAGTCCAAAAAATAATGTGTAGTGGTTGATTAAATGAATAATGGAATTAAATAAATATAAAATGCAACGAAAAATTCCAGTTGTGCCACAGAAGCAATATTAATTACCAAATCAATATAAAGCAAGTAGTGTGTAATTAGTCTTTGTCATACCCCAAATTTTTCCATATTGGTGTTAATAGTCAATTTAGTCATTTTCCTACTAATTTTTTGTGTTACTATATTTGCTTAAATTTATTCCCATACTAACATTTCTCTCTCTCTATATATATATATCAATTGGGTTTTTATTTTATAAGTTTAGGGTCATTTTTTTATTGGACTCATCATCTAATTTATTTTTAAAGTCCATTAAGATTCGCAAATGTCCATTAGGGGGGTGGGTTAAATAAAATGTAATTATTTTTATTTTTATTAGGTTGACCGTAGCCAACATTGTTGTAATTGTTTTTGATTGATGTAATTGTTTCGGTTGATCAGAGGTCAACATTCTTTGTGCAATGAAAAAAAGATTTATTATTTGTATTTATTATTATTTTTGTTTATTATTATTTTTCATTATTATTTTAATTATTATTTTGTAAAGTTGACTAAGTCAACTAGGGTTCCTAAACCCTATATCTGATAGTGGCGCATCCTAAACAAAATCAAGCAGGTCCAAGCCCAGAAACAAGAATCATATCAAATCTTTCTCAAAATTGAATCTTTATTACAATATACGAATTCATACATTCAGAAGTGTCCAAGTACATTGCAGATTGAAACTCTTATTCTAATTTTCAAACTAAATCTAACCTAATTCCTAAATTAAATCTTTGATTTCAATCAATCTAAGAGTAATTGAATCAATTACAAACCATTTAAAATTTGTAACTGCAAATTAGACTAAACTATTTGCTAATTCATCTATTCCTAAACCCTATAAATACCTAATTCTAAAAAACTAAGAGGGGACAGAGAAATTGAAAGAAGAAGTTGAAGAAGTAGATGAAGACAAAACCCCCACATCCTTGTTGCAATTACCTCAATGTCTTCAATACCTATGAAATAGAGAAAAGGAAGGAGAATATATGAGGAATTTTTACGCAAAGAATCACTGCAGGAGACGTAAACACTCAAACTTATCTTAGGTGTTTGTTGTGATTGTTGTCATGTTGTTGGATTTCTGGGGAATTTTTTGGGATTAGGGTTAAGGTTCATCTACGTAGGGTTAGGGTTCATATTTGTTGTTTAGGGTTCATAGGGTTTGAAGGGTTGAGGGATAGGGTTCTTAGAAATTATATGAGGTTCCCGATGAACCTTCACCATTCACAACATTCTTTATGGCTGCCCACAGTGGTTTAAGCCTAGGGTTCATTAGATTTCTAAGCTAGGGTTCTTAAATTGTTAGGTTTAGGGTTTATGTTCTAGGGTTCTTAATTTTTTTGGGTTTGGTTGATTTTCACGGTTGAAGCTCAACCGAAAATTGGGAATTAAAGAGGAGACTAGGGAGGCGCCACCGACAGAGCAATTTTCGGCAGGCCAAGTTTTGGTCTTGTGTGCTCACCATAACTCTCTGCACCTACCCACATGTAGTCCCAACGAACTCAAATAATTACTCTGGGCCAGGCCCATTGCTAAATCCACCTCTGGTTTTTTGGCTTAAACTAAAATCACACCCTCTGCGCCTATTGGGCTCTAACAATTACCTAGGCCTTGTCCTCTTCTATTTACACCCCCTTAATTACCACTCTTAAATAAAATACACCCCCTGTTGTTTATTTTTGATTTCATTTTATTTATTTATTCATGTATCCATTTATTTTATTTTCTAAGTTATTTCCCTTTTGCATCAAAAATAACTTATTATTATTATTATTATAAATATTTAATTTATTCAACGTATTATTTTTGGTAGAGAATAACAAACTTCTTTTACAAAATTATCAATTATTTTCTTAAAATTACTAGTCTTTTTTATTAATTCAATTAAACCTTTTTTACTAACTTCAACATCATTTTGTTCCAATAATTTTATCAATCATGCATTTAAAATAGTTAACCAACTTCAATTTTTTTCACTAACTTAATTCAAAATTCAAAATTATTTTCAAAAAGAGGATTGTGAATTTGCTTTCAAATTAAACTTCGAACTACGTCTACGACTATGCAACTTTCAAACACTGACGAATTTCAAAGGATCGTTCAAAAGAAATTACCCAATCCTATAAAAAAACTAACCAAACACATAACGAACTACAAAGTGGACTCTGATTTCTTTGCAAGAGGATATGTAGGCACGCGGTTAAAACCAAGACGAGTCCCAACTAAAAAAAAAACTAAATCTTTTCTTATATACGTGGAAATATAAGAAGAAAGATCTGTGATATTGAGATTCCCTAGAACCCGGTTACTTTCTAGGACAGGTTAAGCCAAACTAAACTTCAAGAGGGTACTTACCAATGAAACCTCATGCAAGCCTAAACCTAAGGACTTGTTTTCTTTGTGCGTATATACTTGTACATAACATCATGACATCATACCATGGCAGTTTGCACTAACCATTTCAAGGACCTAGAGATTTATCTTTTTCTTGTTTTGTAGGACATGGCTTCCACTCGCAGGAATACTATCCAAGTTAACCTCGTAAGAGTGCCTCCTCAACTCAAAGAGTTAGCGTCAAGGGTTCCTAAGAATTCTCCGTTCACCAAAAGACATGGTCGACTTCTCAATCTGGTTACCTCAAGCCTTGATGAAGATATGATGAAGGTGCTCTTTCAGTTCTTTGACCCTTTACACCATTGCTTTACCTTTCCTGATTACCAACTTGTGCCTACTATGGAAGAATTCTCTCAACTATTGGGAATTCCTATTCTTGATCAACTACCCTTCAATGGTATTGAAAGAGACCCAAGACCTGAGGAGATTGTTCGAGCTCTACATTTGCAATGATCCGACATTATGGGCAATTGGGAAACAAGAAGTGGTGTCAAAGGGTTTCTAGGCAAGTTTTTGTTGGAGAAGACTCAAGATTTTTGGGATACTCTGGATTTACAAGCCTTTGAAGAAGTGTTGGCTCTTCTCATATATGAGGTGGTGCTCTTTCCCAATCCTGACCAACTCATAGATGTAAACACAGTCAAAAATTTTCTACCTCGTAACCCGATGCCTACCTTGCTTGGAGATATCCTGCACTCTCTTCACACTTGCACCATGAAGAGAAAAGGATTTCTTATGTGTTTCACTCCTTTGTTGACTAAGTGGTTTATTTTGCACTTACCTCGATCTGTTTTGAAGAATGAGCAAGGCATGAGATGGTCTAAAAGGTTGATGTCACATAAGCATCCAGATATTCATTGGTGTTCTCGATCTTTGGAGGACATTATCATCATCGACCACTGTGGGAAATTCCCTAATGCCCCTATCCTTGGCGTTAGGTGAGGCATCACTTATAACCCTTTCTTGGCTTTGTGAAAATTTGGACATGCTAGGAGGGATGGTCCTTATAATGCACTTGTCCAAGGAATTGCATTTGACTATGAGAGCAATGTCCAAGGATAACGTAAAAGCTTTATACGAGCTTGGGGAATGATAAACAAAACTGATAGCAAGACTTTGGGGCATAAGAACTCCATTCCTTTGGAGCCTTATCTCAAGTGGGTGCGAGCTCACGCTCAAAACCTCATGATTCCTTATGAAGCCATCCTACCTATCATCATGGAGCCTGTTGCTGAGGGAGATGTTCCTTATACTATTCTTTATCCTGACATGCCAACTACTCTCGAGGAGTTACAAAGATCTTGGATAAAACTCAAAGAGGAGAGATACACCTTTGAAACCCAGTTCTACGCAAGCGAGAAGAAGGTTTTGGAGCTTACAAGACAGCTTCACGATGAGCGAAGTTTGAATGCCTACATTGCACAAAAGAGGATACGCTCATGGGAAGCTTGGTTCTCTTTCTTGTTTTAGGAGTTTATTTTGTATTTTTGAATTTTCCATTGTAAGCCCAAGAGGCATGTTGTAATAAATCTGAACTAGTAATGCAATTAACGTTCGTTCCTTCTTTGTATAAACAAATTTAAATCTTCTAAAGTCCTTGAAATCATTTGCATATGAATTT